ACTGTCTCTTTCCCCCATAGCCTTAGGCTTCATCAGATAAGAACAAAAGAAGTAATGGCTAACAACATGGTCTCCATTAAGTTGTGTTAAACCGGGTTATGTTGAAAGGGCTATGCTTAAAGGCGTATGTTGGGTGGTTATCAGATTACCAGGGAGGATCTACTCACCAGGTAGTCACAAGATGTTTAAATGGATTAATGAAGTCATTGATGTCCAATGCGCCTGTGCAGAGGGATTGTAATGAATGTTAATGAGGTCATTGATGCATAGTGCGCATGTGCAAAATTGACTATATAAACCAACAGTAAATAAAGAAAGCTCACCATTTTGCCTGAGCGAGCAAATGGTCACCTTTATTTAAAATGCAATTTCAATAAGCGTGCTTATTCTCCATAGCATGGCTTTTCAGTGAGACCCTAACGGCAACAAGGGGACAGAGATTTTGCTTTAGAATCTTAGCATTAAAATGTCCGTGTTCTCTTTCTCACTTTTATAAAATTCTGCTGTTTCAAAATGAGACATGCTATTATCAATCAAAAAGAATAACGCATTCCTCTATCTCAGGATAACATTCTCTTCATTAACCTGTGTGCTTCATTTTTTTTTATGCCATCAACATAAAACTATCCAAACAATAGATTCATCCTCAGGGCAACAGACACATTCTGGATGTGGAATTCCTTTCCTGCTCATAATGCTACAGCCAGCACTGTCACCTGTGGGTTCATACAGTGCCTCATCCACCATCACGCCATGCTACACAGCATTGTGTCTGATCAGGGAAGTCGCTTCAGTGCTGCAAAGGATATGAAGCAAGGGGCTTATGGCCATGGAATTAGCTGGTCTTACCCCTTATCCCATCACCTAGAAGTAACTGGCCCACCAGGTGCTGGAGACTGGAGAAATTAAACATGCTATCAGAGCCTGCCAAGGCAACAGCACAGAACCAGGAAGAAAATTCCTTTCTTCTTCATCCTCTTCTTACAAAGTTTATTAACTGGAAGGTAAAGCAGCTTACTAAAATCTGTTATAGTGTCCCTTGGTAGACAATACTCTGAAAGAAAGGAGTTATGTTTTATTACAGTTTGGCTGGGCTGGGCTTGAGTCTGCCACCCTTGGTATATTGGGGCCTGCGCCCTACCCACTGAGCCACAGGTGCCGCCCAGGGGCATTGTTTTATAGGAAGCAGTATAAGCTTTGAATTACAGACCACAATATAGTGCTAGCTCCCTCATAGCCAGAATAGTCTAAAAGTTAAAGGGTGGATAGGGGAGTGGATCCTCTCACTAGTGTACCAGTCTAATAATCCATTTTGCAGAATTTTTGCTTCCTATCCTGGGAACTTCAAGCTCTGCTGGTTTGGAGAGCTTTGTCTGCAGTTGGGGGGATGCTTCCACTAGGGACACAATAATGGTTCTTCCCCGATTTGTGCCACATGGATATTTTGGGTTTCGTATACCATTGAACCAACAACTAGGGAAAAAACCGGGGTCGGGGGGAATGGGTGTTGATTTATTGGTTGGGGAAACTGATCCCGATTACTAAGGATAAACTGGGTTGCTACATAAGGGAGGCAGGGAAGACTATTTGGAACCCAGAAGATTCTCTGGGATACCTCTTGTTCTTCCATGCTCCATAGAAAAGGTTAATAAAAGGCAGCGGCACCTGTGGCTAAGTGAGTAGGGTGCCAACCCCATATACCAAGGGTGGTGGGTTCAAACCTAGCCCTGGCCAAACTGCTACAAAAAAAAAAAAAAAAAGCCAGGTGTTGTGGCAGGCACCTGTAGTCCCAGCTACTCGGGAGGCTGAGTCAAGAGAATAGCCTAAGCCCAGGAGTTGGAGATTGCTGTGAGCTGTGTAACACGGCCACAGCACTCTACCAAGGGTGATAGAGACTCTGTCTCTACAAAAAAAAGAAAGAAAAGGTTAATAAAAAACTACATAGCAAAAAACTCCTAAACCCACCTCTCAAAACCAAAAAAGAACTACATAGCAACCAAAAAAAAAAAAAAAAAAGGAATAGGGGTGCAGAACACTTGAGGACTTAAGCCCTTTGGGAATGAAGGTTTCAGTCAGGTCACCAGATAAAGGGTGGACATGGGAGTGGATTCACTCAGTGGTATACCAGCCTAATAATCCAGTACACTAAAAAGAACCCACAGGGACGCTGAGGGGGAAGAAAGGATCGCTTGAGCCCGGGATGTGATGCCCACTGTACTCTAGCAGGGCAACAGAATGAGACCCTATCTCCTCTTCAAACAAAAATAAAAACAACCCCCTCTCCCCCCACCCAAAAAACCCATGGTAACTGAAGTTCTGGCTGAGGGCAAGAACATATGGGACAAATAGCTGAAGAAGGAAGCCGTAGATATGAACTACTCATGACCAAATGCAGAAGCAAAGTAGCTCTGCCTCATTTTCTCTTTGCTTTCTATATTCACACTCTAATACACACTCCTTCTCTCTCCTTCCCATTTCTAATTTTATGTGCACATTGTTGGAAATTATTTACAATGTAGTCTTTAGGTAACAGGGACTGAATTTGAGAAATAACTGACATAACTAGCAATAGAAACAATGACTGTTGGGACTATGTCTCCTCACAGTTTTTGGAAATGATGAGTATTTGTATGATGGCTAGACATATCTTCTTAGGCAGAAATAGAAGATTGTTTTGTCCATGCATAAGAGTTCAAGTGTCTCTAAAAAAGTGCAGAAATAGGGTGGCGCCTGTGGCTCAAAGGAGTAGGGCACTGGCCCCATATGCTGGAGGTGGCAGGTTCAGAACCCAGCCCTGGCCAAAACTGCAAAAAAAAAAAAAAAAGACAATAAAGGTGCAGAAATATAAAATTGTTTTGTCCATGTACAAGAGTTCAAGTGTGTGTTGAAAGGTGCATGTGGGAAGTTGAACAAAGAGTCAGACTGTACTAGTTGTCAATTTTTTGCCTCTCAGGTCCAAATTCATCCCTTTGCCAGCTCTAAGGTAATGGATCTGGCCTTTTAAATATTTTTTCTTTGCCAGTTGGCACAATAATAAACAGAAGAGGATGAGGAAGAAAGGAATTTTCTTCCTGGTTCTGTGGTTCTGGGTTGTTGCCTTGGCCGGCTCTGGTGGCCTGTTTAACTTCTCCAGTGTCCATATCCTGAAGCACATGGTGGGCCAGCAACTTCACTGGCAAGCCCCCTCCTTCTGTGATTCTGTAGCAGAGTGTCTGGTGAGAAACTTTCCCATGAACAGTTTTCCTTTGTATCCTAGAAGGTGGGTCTCAAAGTTCCAAAAAGTTTTTAGTGTCATTGTACTTTTCTTCCTTCTAGTGACCTATGGCTATGTTCTCTTCAACAAGCTGGTAATGCTTTCTGCAACTCAGTCCTCGTAGTAATGACTTCTTTTTGTATCTTCTGCTCCTATATTGCTTAGAGTTCTCTTCACATCTTACTAGCCAATTCCTTGTTATTCCAAACCGCTGTTATAGTTAATATGTTATTTTAAACTTCTCTATTCAAAGTACTGTGTTTTGGCTGGCGCCTGTGGCTCAAGTGGCTAAGGCGCCAGCCACATACACCTAAGGTGGTGGGTTCGAATCCAGCCC